TCAAAATATGGTAAACAAAATTTTAGTGACTTGCAAGAGGTCACCCAGCAAGTCAGTGACAGAAAAGGAATTAGAACTCAGGATCCCAAATCCCAAGGGTATTATTTTCTGTTATACACATCTCATTGCTTCTTAGCTTATCTTAAAACACTGTCTGTCAAACACAAAAATCTTAGTCATTTTGATGACTAAGAATAAAAGTAAATATATGACCATGAACCAAAGGGCACTCCATTTTGTCACATATGATCTTGTTACAACTTTTCACACAGCCAGCAATAATTACACTAAGCTTCACTAGTGAGTCATTTATCACTTAAACAGTTCAATAAAAAAGACAGACTAAATATTATCATGTAAAGAGCAAAGACACTCGTGTTCCAGTAACAGCTCTAGCACCAGGCAGCTAGCTGCAGGAATGTGCTTTCAACCTGCTCTCCCCGGGCCTGTTTCACTTCTATAAAACGAACAGAAATGGTCTCAGTGATTCCCGTGGGGGAAGTTATTCGCCTTGTGGGCAAGACAATTCTTTGCTGTACAAGACTGTCCCATACACTGAGGACATTAAGCCTCTCTAGCCCTTGCCCCCTAAACGCTGGTCACTCTCGCCAGTAGTTGTGACAACCAAAAAACCCTGCCCCCACACACACTTAGAAATGGAAAGGGCAGCGGGTAGAGGGGTTGTTAGGTTGCGTAGACTTCATTTCCCTAGTGGATGATCCTTCTCAGGTTCCTTCAAGCGCTGAAATTCTATAAATTAGTAACCCTTCAGTTTTACTTAAGTGACAAGTCCATGATTGAAAAAAAGTATGGAAAGAAGGAAGTCATGGATGATTCAGAAAAAACATGGGGTAATTTTCATCCCAGTAATCCCATTTCTAGGACCTAGCCCAGGGAAATTAACAGTGTAAAGATTTAGGAGCAAAGGTTTAGTCATCACAACACTACCAAGAGTTGAATGATGTGAAACAACCCGAATAGGTAACATTTATTGAGCACTTGTTAGGTGCCAGACATCATTCTATGTACTTTACTTCCTTGCTACTCGAAGTGTTAGCACATCATGTAGGAGCTTAATACAGAATCTCAGGCCCCACCCCAGACCTACGGAATCAGAGTCTATTTTAACAAGCTCCCCAGGTGGACACTGGAGTTTAAGAAGCGCTACTTTGGGGCCAGCCCAGGGCGCAAGCTGTTAAGTGCGCACATTCCTCTGCGGCGGCCCGGGGTTCGCAGGTTGGGATCCCAGGCGTGCACCGACGCACTGCTTGGCAAGCCATGCTGTGGTGGCGTCCCATATAAAGTGGAGGAAGATGGGCACAGATGTCAGCCCAGGGCCTCTCTTCCTCAGCAAACAAAGAGGATTGGCAGATGTTAGCACAGGGCTGATCTCCTCACCCACACACACACACAAAAAAAAGAAGCGCTACTTTACAAGTATTAATTCATTTAATCTTCAAAGCATGTATGAATAATTTAATCCTTATGACAACTCTATAATGTAAATATTATTATCCTCCATTTTACATATTAGTAAACTAAGGCACAGAGTGTTATGTAACTTGCATAATAACTGTCAGAGCCAGGATTTGAACCCACACACTCTTGTTCCAGAATCCAACCTTTAAACCATTATTGCATATTATTTCTCAATTTTTAAACAAATTATAGTATCTCCATAAAATGGAATATTGTTTAGCAATTAAAACTAGCATCTAAGGAATTTTTAATGACACAAGGAAATTAACTGAAGTAGGCAGTAATAAAATTGAATATATGGTATGGACCCAATATGTAATTTTTTTAAATTACATACATACTCACTGTGAAAATGGTCTGGAAAAAAACTGTCACTATGGGGAGGCAATATGTGGGATCTGGTCTCAGAACGCCAGAGTTCACATTCCAGCTCTACCACTCACTAGCTCAGTGATCTTAGGGGAGATACCTTTTTAAGCCTCATTTTCCTCATCTATAATATGGGAATAATATTTACCTCACAAGATCATTGTGAGGATTAAATGAGGTAATCTATAAAAAGCATTAGCATTGAAAATTATTATTATTTCTCTTTATACTTTTTTCATTTTTCCAAAATTTCTACAATGAATACATATTATACTTCAGTAAGCAGCAAAAAAAGTTATTGAAAAAGATAATGCCTTAGATTGTCGACTATATTATAAAGGGCTATTACAAAGAAAGTACTGATTCCTCTGATTAGATAACATAAGACTGAACTCAAGCAATTACGAGTTGAGTAAGAGATCTAAAAAAGATCTTTAAACTAGTATGATTAAATAGTGAAACTGAGTAAGGGACCTGCGCCAGTTCCTCTCTGGGAGGGCCTTTGCTGGGAACAAAGTCCCCCATCTATCTTGAATGATTTAGGCATTCCAACTGCCTGGCAGTGACTGCCTGACCTTGAACAGGTTACCGGACCTCTCACAAAGCCTCAATTTTCCTCATCTGAAAGGAATGAAACTACCTCCCTTGGAGTTATTGTGAGGATTTAATGGGAAAATGTGTGTAAAGGACTAGGCATGCTGACTAGCAAAAGAAAGCATTTAATGTTAGCTAAAATCTATCATCATCATCATCAATCGTCATCATCCTTTGGCTGGATAAGACTTCTTGAGTTCCTATTCCAGCAATGAAAGTATATTCATTTTTTCAAATCACAGTTCAATGGTGTTTTCATTATTTTCTAATCAATTATACCTTCAAAGAGCTATTTCATTACAAAATCATCAAGGCCACAGGGCTAAAACTCTCCATTTTTAAGTAGTTAAGATTCACAAAAGTAAATTGTGTCACATTTGGATTAACTAACTACACAACTAGTAGTAGCAAGCCAATTCAGGTGGGGTTTTCTCCACATTTGTAATATCTTTGTATACATATACATTAGTACACAAATGAGTAAGTCTTATACTTAAATACATGAACTCCATCAATCACTACCAGCTATAATATAGGTCCAGGCTTTCCACCTGATAAAATTAGATCAGAATCAGTGTTAAGGGGCCGGCCCTGTGGCTTAGCGGTTAAGTGCGTGTGCTCTGATGCTGGCGGCCCCGGTTCTGATCCCGGGCGCGCACCAACACACCGCTTCTCCGGCCATGCTGAGGCCGCGTCCCACATACAGCAGCTAGAAGGATGTGCAGCTATGACATACAACTATCTACTGGGGCTTTGGGGAAAAATAAATAAAATTAAAAAAAAAAAAAAAAAGAATCAGTGTTAAGATTCAGAAAAGCCTAAGGATCACTCGGTCTGATCCTTTCATTTACAAATGGATTTAGGAAATGTAGTTAACTGGTGAACAAGGAAAACATTCAAATGCTAATCTACTGTTTCAGGAATTAGTCCAAATCCTAAAAGGAACACATAATAAACCTCAGTTTAGACTTTTAAAATGACACCAATTTTTAGCTTAGCTAAAGGTGTTACTATTATTACCACATTTTTAGGTGTAAGTGGGAGCTTCCTTTCTCACTTTCAACAGTACTGAATCCACAGCTTTGAATTTGGTTTCAAGACATTAATTTATTACAGGGGAGGAGGAGGAGAGAAAGTCAATGGTCAGGCACTTAAGGAGCTCTTATTTGACATCTAAGTCAACTAACAGTAATTTTTTTAAAAAGCTGAATCAAAGAGTTCATGTGCACAGTATAAGACTACTATGAGAATACTTTTCATCTTCAAGTTTATATAAAAAAATTTTAAAGAAAACACAAATGGCTTTTAAAGCTAAGAAAATATGCTCAACTTCACTCATTAAGATGAAAATTAAATTCACTTCACTCATTAAATGAAAATTAAAACAACAAAATTCCTATCAGATTTGCAAAAATCTAAGTCATTAGGCTTGAAAAAAGATTTGTCCTTGGAATGCTGACTTTGATTCTCTAATTTAAAAACTGTTGACAATCATTTCTATTCACAAGCAAGTATGCACTCATGCATGAGTATGTGTCTATATTTATATATAAAACTTAACACTAACATGTTCTGGAGAAAGTAAGGGGGAAATAAGTATACTTTTATATTATTCATCAAAGCATAACTTCTATGAAGAGGAATTTGACAATATCTATCAAAATTATAAATGCACATATCCTTTGACCCAGCAATTCCACTTCTAGGAGTTTATCCTACAGATGACTTCCACACAGGAGAAATATCATAGGTACAAGGATATTCACTGCAGCACTGCTTGTACAAGTAAAAAATTGATAACAATCTGAATGTCCATTCATAGGAGATTGGCTAAAATTATGGTAGACTTCTAAAACAAAATACTATGCAGCCATTAAATAAATGAAACTATATAAATATTAGTATGTAAAGATCTCTAAGAGATAGTAAGTCAACAATGTGTTGCACATAGCCCTATTAGTTTTAAATTTTATATATAGACATATACTCATTCATGCACGAGCATATTTACTTCTCGCTCTATTTCCCTTTACACATTTCAATTTCATTCTACTTAGATGTATTACTTTTTCAAAAGAAATAACTTTTAAAATATTTCAATTTTTTTTATTTTTATTTTTTTACTTTTTGCTGAGGAATATTTGCCCTAAGCTAACATCCACTAACAATATTCCTCTATTTGTATGTGAGCCGCCACCACAGCACGGCCACTAACAGACAAGTGGTGTAGGTCTGCGCCTGGGAACCAAAGCTGGGCTGCAGAAGCAGAGCATGCCAAACTTAACCACTAGGCCACCAGGGCTGACCCCTAAAATATTTATTTTAAATTTACTATGGTGTAATCCAAATGAAGTAACTAATCAAATTTTCCTTCACTGGTAGTTTTTAAATTCAAGAATCATAACGTCAGCATTCCAAGGACAAATCTTTTTTCAAGCCTAGTGACTCCATAATCAACATCAGTTCTAGCACAATTAAAATCCTAAAGCCCACTTCTAAGCAGAAACACAGAGTACTTACTTTGCAGTAGAATTAGAATAGTGAAACTCAGAACTTACCTGAACAGGTCTCCATGAAGCTGTAAATAAAGACTTTCCCTTCCCTCTCCAGCACATATTTCTGATGCTGGTGTCTCTACTGTGCAAAGGACAAGATGTAAGTCAGAGGAGGATGAGGCAGAGGAGGTGGTGGTTGCAGTGGCAGTGGTCATGTCTGCTCCATAAAGGTAAACACAGCCTCTCCTCACATCTTCTCTCAGCCAGTCTCTTTCTCGGGAACCAAATCTACTTCTCCTATTCAAACAATTTCTGCTCCCAGTGCATTTCATATTTCTCTAAAAAAAACATCAACAGAAAGAAATTATTAGCTAGAATGTCTGACTGAGTTAGACATGTTCAGTCCTCACCCCACCTTTCCGCTTTATATTCACCAATACGGTGCTAGAGTATCACTTCCTCTCATGGAGGCTTCCGCATCTGCCATGCCCATTCTTAACCTGGAAAACTTGGTTTTCTGTACTGCTAGCTGTTCATGTCTCTGTCCATCATCTTCTCTGACCTTTTCCTTTTTTTTAATGTTTTCAGAAAAATGTCAAGAATAATAAACCATCTGTGTACCTACTACCCAACTTTCACAAACTTTAATATTGTCATATTTAGTTCAGATACTCTAAAAAAATATATGATATATTCTTACATACACAGCTGAAGCCACCTGGTACTCCACCACACTCCCATTTCCCTCTCTCTCCCCAGAAACAAACACTCTAATGTATTTGGTATTTATCATTCCACGCATTTTTATGTTTGCCATATATGTACATATCTATAAACTATATACAGTATTGTTCTATGTGATTTAAAACTTTAAATCCTAACATACTTATGTTTCAGCCTGCAATTTTTTTTATTTGGTTCAACACTGGTTTAAAGATATATCCATGCTAATACACCCAACTCATTCATTTGAATAACATTCCAGTATATGAATACACTGCAATTTCTCCATTCTCCTGCTGACGGCATTTAGTTTCTGATTTTTCACTGTTGGAAACGATGCTGCAATAAACATGTCTCTATACACAAATTCTAAGTTTCTTTAGGTTCCTGACCCTCTGCCTCACATCCCAAATAAGCAAGTACAGAATCAACACACTGTTACACAAATATTCTTTCTATTCTCGTCATGTTTCAAATAATTACTGTTGGGCCGGTCCCCAGGGCTTAGCGGTTAAGTGCGCGCGCTCCGCTACTGGCGGCCCAGGTTCGGATCCCGGGCGCGCACCGAGGCACCGCTTCTCCGGCCATGCTGAGGCCGCGTCCCACATACAGCAACTAGAAGGACGTGCAACTATGACGTACAACTATCTAGTGGGGCTCTGGGGGGAAGGGGGGAAGGAGGAGGATTGGCAATAGATGTTAGCTCAGAGCCGGTCTTCCTCAGCAAAAAGAGGAAGATTAGCATGGATGTTAGCTCAGGGCTGATCTTCCTCACACACACACAAAAAAATTACTGTTGCATTTAATAATTTAGGCATGTGAAATTCATACACGTTGTGAAGTCACGCTATCTCAAAGCAAAAACAACTGCTACAGCAATATAACAAGTTTCTAAAAATCAACATTCACCTGCTCTGTTTTTATGATGGGCCATTTCTGTTTCCTTTAACAAAACAGAAATGTCCACTAACAATTACACGGACATACCTCTGCAATGTCATTCCCCATTGCCTTTCTCTCTGTTTCAGTCACATCCAACTACTTGTAACTCCCCAAACACACCAACTATTTCACAATTCTGTGACTTGTCTGAAATATCCTTCTCCAGCTTGTCTCTCTGACTAGACATTCTTCAAAACTCTACTCAGATGTCACTCTCTCTATGCAGCCTCTCATGTCTCCCATCCCCATTTTTACCTCCTACCTAGAAAGAATTAATGACTCTATTCTCTCCTCAGCAGAACTTCTTCACCTTGAACATATGTCTATTACTATGTGGATCACAATGGGATCACAATGGGTTTTAATTATTTATTTGATATTTCTTCCTCTCTTCTACACCAAGAATCTATTATAGTGCTTTAACACCTGGGTAGCATAGAGATGCATGCAGAACTCAGCAGACATCACAGAAATTTATTCCCAGTCTGTACTTTAGTCCAATTAGCTCTGGCAAGAAGTTGAACAAACCTGGGGGGAAAATCTCCATTTTTATAAAGAACCCTAAAATCTTTTCTTTTTATCAGCCACAAAATCAATAAAATACTTTTGCTACTATTCCTCATTGGAAAACAGAAATACCTATAAATAAAGCAAATATTATTTTTGCAATTACTGAAATTAAATATTTGAGGATAATTGTAGCACCTAAAATTCAATTTCTAAAGGTGATAAAGAAAGAGGAAGGAAAAGTTAGAAGGTATTCTCATGTGGGAAGAAAGAAAAACAAGAGTGAGAATAGTTTCCTTGTTTAAATTTAGGATAAGACAAGTAAATTGATCATTTTACAGTCCTAGGGATTTGAATATAGCTATTCAAAACCAGGAGGATTATTACTGATTCTAACTTCAGATAAGTAGGATAAACCCCTGCTACAAGTGGGAACCAGGTCTCTCCCTTCTCATCAAGAGCATTTTCTCAAAGCTGAACATCTCAGAATTAACAAAGGACTTTCAAGTACTTATTTTATAAACACAGGGGCCATCATATTAGTACCACTAAATAATTTTAATCACTGAATAATTAACCACTGGTTAATTTTAAATATTCCTTATTTTTTAATCTTTGGGAAAGATCAACTGGTCAATCTGAAAACAGTATTCTACATGGTACAGTATCATTTATACAAAGAAGCTCTGCATTCTGCACTCAGTGGAGAGAAATTTTGCTCGCTGCTATTAAGAGAGAGCAAGTAGACACTATTCCACACAACCACCAAAAAGCTTCTTTAAAAAAAACTTGCTAGGGGCCAGCCCAGTGGCGCAAGCGGTTAAGTGCGCGCGTTCCACTGCAGCGGCCTGGGGTTCGCCGGTTCTGATCCTGGGCGCGCACTGATGCACCGCTTGGCAAGCCACGCTGTGGCGGCGTCCCATATAAAGTAAAGGAAGATGGGCACGGATGTTAGCCCAGGGCCAGTCTTCCTCAGCAAAAAAAGAGAAGGATTGGCAGATGTTAGCACAGGGCTGATCTTCCTCACAAAAAAAGCTTTTTAAGGTCAAACCACAGCCCACTGACCTTCTCAATCTTAGAAAAGTCAAGAAGGACCCCAGGAAGTATTATATTAGCTCAACCATTTTTCTTCTATAAGGATTTTTAATGGTCATTTTTAAATGTGTATATATATTTCCCTTAAGACTATAAATTCCTTAAGAACTTTACATTTTTGAAACATGTGTTGTTGGTCAAAGAATATATCTCCGATTTATATGATATATTCCACCTATGAAGATACACTGCTGAGTCAGAACTTTACTAGATATCATTCTCTTAAACCTGCTCAATGGGCACTGAAAAGGCCTAGATACCAAGCAAGCACAGCCTTCTAGCAACAATCTAGATGGACTGCTTAGCTATTATTAGCCACTGCTGAATTACCTAGTGCTTCCTTTTCCACTGCCTAAAGCCATCAGGTAACTGCTGGAAAGGCCAGTACTGTCCTCTGAGACGCTTTCAGCATCACCATTCCACTGGAATTGCTAGATTAAGAACCCTTAATTTATTTCCTCCATTACTCTTATATAACAACTGTTGACCAACTTATCCAAAAGGGAACACAACTATAATCACCTCTCACATCAAACAAATGTATAAAGAGCACATGGGACTACACCAAACTAAAAAGCTTCTGCACAGCAAAGGAAACCATCAACAAAACGAAAAGACAACCTAACAATTGGGAGAAGATATTTGCAAACCATACATCTGATA